AAAAAATTAGCCAAGCATACTGGCTGTGGCTGCACACCTGTAGTCCTAGGTCCTAGCTACTCAGGAAACTAAGGTGGGAGGATCGTCCGAGCCCAGCAGTTGGAGGTTGCAATGAGATATGATAGTGCCAGTACACTCCAGTATGAATGACAGAGAGGCAGTCCCTGTCTTAAAAAAATAATAATAGGCCAGGCGCGGTGGCTCAAGCCTGTAATCCCAGCACTGTGGGAGGCCGAGGCAGGTGGATCACGAGGTCAAGAGTTCGAGACCATCCTGGTCAACAAGGTGAAACCCCGTCTCTACTAAAAATACAAAAAATTAGCTGGGCATGGTGGCGCGTGCCTGTAATCCCAGCTACTCAGGAGTCTGGGGCAGGAGAATTGCCTGAACCCAGGAGGCGGAGGTTGCGGTGAGCCGAGATTGTGCCATTGCACTCCAGCCTGGGTAACAAGAGTGAAACTCCATCTCAAAAATAAATAAATAAATAAAATAATAATAATAATAAGCCGGACGCAGTGGCTTATGCCTGTAATCCCAGCACTTAGGGAGTATAAGACAGATCACTGGAGGTGGGGAGTCCGAGACTAGCCTGACCAACAGGGAGAAACTCCGTCTCTACCAAAAATACAAAATATTAACCAGGCGTGGGGGTGCATGCCTGTAATCCCAGCTACTCGGGAGGCTGAGGCAGGAGAATGGCTTGAACCGGGAAGTGGAGGTTGCAGTGAGCTGAGATCGTGCCATTGTACTCCAGCCTGGGCAACAAGAGTGAGACTCTGGCTCAAAAAAAAAAAAAAAAAGAAGTAGGAACATAAAACGAAAAGCAGATTAGTCATTTCAAAGTTACTTTTCTCGTAAAGGTTTAAGCAGAATGGACTTCCTTATGCGGGCTAAAACTGACCTGTTTGGGAATTTGGTGATTTATCAGAAGGTCAGATAAACAACTTAGTTTAGGCATGGTTGGGTAGAACTTGACCTTGAGTAACTCTGTTTTGGTTTGGTCTATTGTGCTGAAGCTCAGTGCAAACCAATAGGCTCCTATAAATTATATTTAACAGCTGTTAACATGGACTATCACATTTAATCCTCACAATAACTAAATTTTAGGCTGAGTGTACCCGTAGTCCCAGATCAGGAGGCTGAGGAGGGATGATCACTTGAGCCCGGGAGTCCAGCCTGGGTAACATAGCAAGACTCTGTCCCTAAATAAAATAAATTTAAAGATGAGAAAATGGACTCCAAAAGTTCAGATAATTTTCCCATTATCACATAGGTAACAAGTGATGTTCTTACCTATGAGATAAGCAGTTTCCCATTTTACAAACACAGTGAGATTTAGAAAATCACATATGTGGGGCCGGGCACGGTGACTCATGCCTATAATCCCAGCACTTTAGGAGGCCAAGGTGGGCAGATCACAAAGTCAGGAGTTCAAGACCAGCCTGGCCAATATGCTGAAGCCCCGTCTCTACTAACAATACGTAAGTTAGCCAGGCGTGGTGCCGGGCACTGGTAGTCCCAGCTACTCAGGAGGCTGAGGCAGGAGAATTGCCTGAACCCAGGAGGCAGAGGTTGCGGTGAGCCGAGATTGCGCCATTGCACTCCAGCCTGGGTAACAAGAGCAAAACTCCGACTCAAAAAAAAAAAAAAAAAAAATAGCCGGGAGTGATGGTGGGTGCCTGCAATCCCAGCTACTCAGAAGGCTGAGGCAGGAGAATCCCTTGAACCTGGGAGGCAGAGGTTGCGGTGTGCCTGGGTAACAAGAACGAAACATAATTTCAAAAAAGAAAAAAATAAATAAAAATCAAGAATTGGGCCCTTTGTGGCTCCTTATTTATTGTTACACAGTATAAAAGACATTAATAAGTATATAAATAAATTACTTTCTTGGAATTAACGGTTTAAATGGAATAAAAGAAGTTAGATACTAATCCCTTTTTTTTTTTTTTTGAGACGGGTCTCACTCTGTCTCCAAGGCTGGAGTGCAGTGGCATGATCTCTGCCCACTGCAACCTCTGCCGCCCAGATTGAAGCGATTCTCCTGCTTCAGCTTCCCAAATAGCTGGGACTACAGGTGTGCACCACCACGCCTGGCTAATTTTTGTATTTTTAGTAGAGACAGGGTTTCACCATGTTAGCCACGCTGGTCTCAAACTGCTGACCTCATGCAATCTGCCCCCTCAGCCTCCCAAAGTGCTGTGATTACAGGCATGAGCCACTGCGCCTGGCCACTTTATTTCTTTTAACAAAGACATGAGAACCATGAGTACATGGATGAGTCATTTCTCCCTTGTATTATTCCTTTTTTTTCTCTCATTACTATACCAACGAGGATCTTCTATCATTCTTAAAATAAGAGAGAAAGAAACAGAAATCCCAGTGCAGTACTTCCCAAATGAGAGCGGTAGGTGTCCATCTGTCAGGCTATATTAAACCAAGAAGAGAATTTTCATTTCAAAATAGTTTCTCCTATTGGCGCTTTCTCCTCGTGAAATATTTACAGGAAACATACATTTAAAATGGAATGAAAGCAGAAACATACAGTAATCCAAGCGAAACTCAACGACATCCATTCTTTCTTTTGCACAAGATGGTCCACATTACCCTTTCCATTAAAAAAAAGAGTGAAAATCTGGGGCTGAAGTAAAACACTCATAACATGCCAGTTGGAGCTAGGAATGTGGCTTTGTGTCAGCAGGAGACCAAGTGAGTGGTGTTTGGTTTTGGCTTGCTAAGTGGACCAGCGCTTTCGTTCCCATTTATGAGCTTCCTAAGTTCATAAAATGGACAGACCAAAGAAGTCTGTCCTATGTTTATTTCTCATAGTAGTCTGGCGTATGTTTCTTAAGAATTGTCTGCAAATCTCTTGCATGAGAATCACCAGTTTGTTTAAACAGAGATTAAAGGAATATATGCTAGATGTATTGATTCAAAATCTCTGGTTGTTAGAAACCCAGGAATCTGCATTTTAAAACTTAAACCAGGTGACTCTTACACTCAACAAAGTGTGCAGGAATTGGCCCGTGATCTTGGGTTTTAAACCACACCATGCCTCAATTTCCCCCTTCTGCAACAGAAAACAAGAGTTCCTGGATGTCTTACGAGTTAGTACTCTTCTGCCTAGCAGGATTCAGAGACATGGCCACTAAGAAGTGACCCAGGGTTCCCCTAGAGCTCCCCTCATTCCTGGTGAATTGTAAATTCAATTTGAGAAGAGAGAGAGGAAGGGATTCGTGTCCTAGAGATGTTGCCTGCAGACCTCAGTATCAGATTTCAGGGCGCTTTCGGCTAATAATGTTTCCGCCCAGCCGCCGTCGTTCGTCTGGTGACGCAACACGGCGTACCTTCTGGCCCTTGTAACTCGAGTACCAAGATGGCGGCCCCCAGAAGCTTGGCTCTATGGAACTGTTGCGGTCGTAGGTGGTCGCGGGCGATGCGGGGCTGTCAGCTCCTCGGGCTTCGTAGCTCTTGGCCCGGGGCCCCACTAAGTGCGCGGCTCTTGTCCCAAGAGAAGCGGGCAACGGAAACGCACTTCGGGTTTGAGACTGTGTCGGAAGAGGAGAAGGGGGGCAAAGGTGAAAGGGGCGAGGGGGTGGATGGAAGGATCTGACCGTCCGTGATCTAGTTTCTTCTGGCCAGTTAAGGTTGATTTAACATTCAGTTAGTTCCAGTGTTGTCTGTGCAGTTCTGATTTCTTTTTGTTGTTGTTTTTGAGACGGAGTTTCGTTCCCGTTGCCCAGGCTGGAGTGCAATGGCGCGATCTCGGCTGATCGTAACCTCCCCCTCCCAGGTTCAAGCGAGTCTCCTGTCTCAGCCTCCCAAGTAGCTGGGATTACAGGCATGCGCCACCATGCCCGTCTAATTTTGTGTTTTTATTAGAGACAGGGTTTCTCCATGTTGGTTATGCTGGTCTCGAACTCCCGACCTCAGGTGGTCAGCCCGCCTCGGCCTCCGAAAGTCCTGGGATTACTGGCTTGAGCCACCGCGCCCGGCTGCAGTTCGGATTTCTGAGTGTCCCCTGCCTGACCCGGCGGCGCTTAGACGCCCACTTTTTTAAAGCAAAATAATGTTAACTAAATGCCATCAATTGAGGGTTTGTGATGTGCCAGGCAATGCACAGATATTATTTT